CTAGCGATCCGCCCCGGTTTTGCACGGGTGATTTCTGGATCTCGTCAATAGCGCCACCTACCGGGTCTATTGTAAATCTAAAACATTCTCTAATCAACTGATTACTGACTGAATTAGTGATCGCCGTGGTAGCTCAGATGGTTAGCGCTCGCTATAAGCTTCACAGTATTCGAGCAACCCGGGTTCGATCCCCGCCAGCACCAATGAAATTGTTCATTGCAATTTTTAGTGCTGATTTACCACGTGCTCGGCGGTGAAGGAAAACATCGTGAGGAAACCTGCAAGTCTGAGAAATAAGAAAAAAAATATATTTCGAAGACATGTGAAGTTCGCCAACACGCATTGGGGCAGCGCGGCGGACATTTCCTTGCCCTAAAACCCTCTCAGAAATGAGAGGAGGCCTGTGCCCAGCAGTGGGACGTAAATACGCTGCAACTTTTACTTTTGTTTTACTTTTTAGTGATCGCCATTACGGTTTTCGTCGGGGTCGATCAGCTGGTGATCTTCTGGTACAAGTACAAGCCTATTAATGCTGGTTTTTTTATAGGATAAGGGTGACAAATGAGCACACAGTCCACCTGATGGTAAGTAGTTGCTGCGGCCCATAGACATCTACATCTATCCTCTGTTACAAATCAAAATGTAGATGCGTTGTCACCCGTGAGGACTAAGATGGAATGCATCATTTCCAGTAAAAAGGGCCTCCGGCCACCTGCACTCACCAAGTGGAACGCAGAGGTAAACCTCTACTTCACGCTGGTATTCTGTGAGGTCGTGGTACCACCCTGGTTCGAGCCGGCCCTTCCGTGCGACAGCAAAAGCTGCCGCGTGGCTCTACCACTGTTAAAAATGTTGTGTGGTGTTCTTCAAGGCTGCGTGCTATCACCAAGGCTGTTTCTTCTGTATATCAATGATATGTTGCAAAATCGGTAACATTCAATGCTATGCGGAGGACAGCACTGGTGATGCTCTATACACCGGTGCTAATATTTCTCAGGAAAAGGTCGCGAGTACCGGAACAAACTTGTGTCTGAAGTCGAGTCTGTTCAACACAGTCTCGGATTGGGGGCGACTAAATCTAGTCCCGTTTAATCCTCAGACGACACAAGTTTGCACGTTTACCGCTAAAAAGAACCCCTTTGTCGTATCGCCTCAGTTTCAAGTCACTCCCCATGTTGCCTCAGCCAGTAACGCAATCCTTGGCGTTGACATATCGAGTGACGTGCAGTTTCGTGGTCACTTGGAAGAGAAGGCCAAATTGGCCTCTAAAAAGCCTGGCGTGCTCAGCAGAGCGGGACAGTGTTTCATGCTGGTACACCGCCTGCAACTTCACAAAGCGCAGGTTTGGCCTCACATGGAATACTGATCCCATCTCTGGGCTGGGGCTCCCCAGTGCCAGCTCCTTTCACCTGACCGCATCCAGCACAGAGCGGTTCGGGTCGTCAACGTCCGAATCCTTTCTCTTTTCTTATTTTGATTATAAAGTAATAACTAACATGAAAAAGGTAAAAGAATAAAATATTTTCCACATCATAATATAATTAAATAACACTAAAATTGAAACTAAAACAGGAGATGGGCAGCAGTATCTTCCTGATAACAACTCAAAATAATAAAAAAATTGCGGTTGCCAACCCACCGGCAAAATCCTTCCTATGAGGCAATCTATGGGAGGGGCCTATGTACAGCAGTGGACGATTATAGGCTGTAATGGCTGGATTGATTTAATTTATGTAATGGCCTCTAAAGATCTTAATTGCGTACATAATTCTTCCTTACTCTGTATAAGTATTGTAAACGTAGTGATTATATTCTCTTTGGTATTGACTTCAAAAACTATTAAGTTATAATAATGTATAATATCTTTATTGACAATTATACAGTGAATATGTGAAGTCTCTGATTGCTGAAGTAGGAATTATACCTGTATCTCAGCAATTAGCGCCCTCTCCCAATTTTATGACCTAATAAATTAACAATAAAGGTTCAAAATAACAATAATGTTTCAAACAGTACAGACTACTTAAGGTGTGAACTAAGTTTGTGTTGAGTGTGTTAGCGTTCATGTGAATTTCTATGTGTGTATGTGTGTAGAAGTTTTTCTTTCAGTTTTTAAGGCTCTTTTACCTGTTTTTGAAAGTTTAATATATCATATTGAACTTCCAAACTAGTGTTGGTTACAGAAATATGTGAACAATGTGTTGTTCCAAGTTGATTTGTCGTATTAAATCAATTTTAACGGTTTCGGAAGTTAATTTCCTGTTCCATTGACGCGAACGTTGAAACAAACGACAGATTTAAAATTATTATGCGTGGCCACAGCGTAGATTTGTTTTATAATTACAGCGAAGGGTGGCTTTCCACTTTGGCAGGTGCTACAGTTTACTAACAGACCGTTGGAAGCGAAAAACTTTCCCATAAATAGCGAAACCATCTCGGTTGAACTTTCTAGCATAATATTCCAAGTTGTTTATTGCGTTAACTGATGTACAAAATGGGGTATTAATTATCTGAAGCCAGTAATACATATTATAAACAAGAGAGAAATGTATATCTTTCACATGTAAATAAAATTGAATTATCTGTCTGTAATATCGAAATAACTACCTTTTATTGAGCTTTCTATCTATCGGTACGGTTTAATCTTCGTAATGGCTCAAGTGGTTGTAATAAAACAACGTAGATAGAGAACTATACCAGAAGTAATCTAGGCTATGTTTAATCCGACATACTTTAAACCCAAATGACGCCATATTTATAGAACCTTCCTAGGTGAAGCCAAATGGGTCGCTAGCTCGCTAGTCATAAATAAGTTTAGTCGCAGAATCTAACCGAAATTTAATAGAACACGATATCAGAATAATACCGACAAATACAGACGTACCAAATAAAATAGGCCATAACGAATTTCCAAAGTAAACATTAAGCTTCGTAACTGGATCCAAAGGGTGCCCCCATATTCAACTAGCCACGTTATAATGTAATAAACTAAAACGTATGTACATTGCAATAGAGTTTATATTGTCGTGGCTGAGCTGCAGTACAAAAGTGGTTGCTGTTTCAATAGATTTTGAACAATGCGTTTGCGCAGGGGTGCGTATAAGCATTCACAACTTTTCGCTCTTTAGCCGCCTTTGTTCCAATTTGATATATATTCATGGCTTCTGCTTTTATTATTCCACGACGGTAAATCAAGTGCAAACGCTCTTTCTTTTGATTGATGTCAGTAAACTCTATATAAGTTTATTTGGTTCACAATATTTAACGAGTGTTACGAAAATAAATGAAATGGTTGCAATGAAAGGATACGTAGAAACATTAAAGTTTTTAAAAGACAGACAATGAAATAGATATAAAAATAAAATAAAGATAAATACCCACAACAATATCATCATCAATATTCCGGATTCTATCGCGTTTAATTATCTTGTTTTTATTGGTTGGTCAGACGGACCAAATTTAATAATTAAAAAAGCTGAAGGTACTCCGGGTTAACTCTCAACGTCAATCACTTCAGTCCCTACGTGACCATGTATGCTGTAAAGTACCCGAAACGTCTGGATTCAATAAAAAACAAGATAATTAAACGCGATAGAATCCGTAAAAGTAGTTTTATTCAATGTGTAGTGTTCGCGTAAATATAAGAAATCATCATCATCAATATGTCAACGATCATTGCTGGAGGATGGAATCTTTGTCATTGTTGTTTATACGATTTTGGATGTATGTATCGCCTTACAGATGGATTAGTGTTCGTAATGCCTTTTAGTTTTCCTTTATAATTCTGGATACTGCATGAGTCTTGCAGTTTTTGACATATCTGTGCCAAAAGTATTAGTCACAATAAAGATTTACTAAGTGATAAAACACCTATTGCGTAAAGGACTGTATCTAGGTTGGTAACATCTTCTTACCTGTATTTTTTCTGCCACCATACAGCAATGCAGTTATTGCGATTTATACGTGGTAGAGCCATGCTGCAGCTATATTAGTAGTATAGTTGTAGCACGAATGGGTCGGTTCGAGCGGGCTCGACCACGCTCTCGCAGAATACCAGCGTAAAATAGCAGCTTGCTGCTGTGTTTCGTATGGTGAGTGTAGAGAACCGGACACCCTTCTTACTGGAAAAGAGGCATTCCATCTTAGGCCTCACGGGTGATAACGCATCTGCATTTTGATTCGCATACGAGGATAGATGTAGATGTCTATGGGCCACAGCAACCGCTTACCATCAGGTGGACTGTGTGCACGTTTGTCACCCTATTCTATAAAAAAATTGTTAAGTTTTGGTTAAAATTATTATAAAACTATAATTAGGGGTCGTGAGACATTTTAATTTAGCCCTAAAGGGTGACAACAAATCTCTTGTTTTCTTATTTTGAAATCGGTGTATATGTTCATGGACTGAAGTAGCCACAAACAACCTGATAACTAATTTTGCATTCTTATATTTAAAAACAAGACACCACCCATATTCGAGCAGCCACAATGTGGTTGTTAATAAATAAGCGATTTTATCTTAGTTCTCGAGTGTGATAACGCCTATGTGGCCATCTTTATTCATAACTAGATGTACATGGGCTGCAGTAACCATTTACTATTAGGTGAACTAATAATTTATCAGTCACTCCAATATTATTGCCCGTGTATATACACCTGCAGCACTATATTATGTCATGCGATAATGCCAAACTTCTAACAGTGGTAACGTTGTTGTGGTTCAAAGAGAGATTGGGAAGAACATTCTAATTCTCATTATTACAAACCTGTTAAAAAGGAAAAATAAAACCTTATACGTTATTGCAAAGTATAAAAATATATTTTCACATTCTTTTAAAATAATTTTCATATGACTAGACATAAACTTTGTCATAACTAACGCTGTTAGCACATCGTAAACTTATTGTCAAATATTCTATGTATATGCTAAGATTGTAAATTCTTTTATTTAAATATAATTTGTACATTGTGACTAGACTTCATAATACAAATTACAATCATCAAATTTGAGTATTCACAACATTGTTTCTATAAAAATTTCGATATCTCTGTTCGTTGATATAATAATGATTTTGTGTATAATTGCTTTCATTGCCGTAGCAATACTTGTCACTATATCCATAGAAATTGGTATAGTTGCCGTATTGTGCGGAATGTTCTTCAGTCTTTTGAGGTTTTTTGTTCTTTGCAGTTTCAAAAGCATTCTTGAAAATTTCATAGTTCTTCTCATTAAAATACTCTTCCGGCTCGTTCCGTACACTTGAATCGTAGATGGAGTCATTGTAGTTGCTACACGGTCCGTAAGGTTTCTGATTATAATAGTTTTGTTGGAACATATCATCACCAAAACTAGACGGGTTCGTGAAGAACCCACTTCCTGTAGTTGATGTAATGCAATTACCACCTTTATTATTAACGGATACAGTAACATTTCCAACATTAATCAATACGCCTTCAGAAGTTTGTAAGAAATTTGACCCATTCGGGAAAGGTTTACTGAACCCCTGAAAACTCCTGTAGCTGCCATCAGGGTTGTATTCTTCAGTCTTATTAGGTAATAAAAATATCTCTCTAAATGCATCTTTATTAATTTTCTCTCCAGCAATTGAATAATTTTGTATTTTTTCATAGTTTAGAGAAAAGCCTTCTGAAGGTATTTGTCCAGAGTTAATATTATCTAATGATTCTAACGTCTGACTAAGAGCAAATATATAATTGTGAGCAAATCTTAATGTCTCTATCTTAGTCAACTTTGTATCTTCGGGAAAAGTCGGTAAAACACATCTCAGTCTATCTAAAGCCTCGTTTAACATGTGCATTCTATTTCGTTCCCTGTCATTTGCTTTCATTCTTCTATTTCTTTTGATTCGCATTATTTGCGTCGGACTTTTGCATCTCGTGACTCTATTCTTACCATTGGCATATTTTCTTTTGGGCTTGTTCGGATCTTTAGGTTTCTTTTCTTTAGATTTAACAGGCGTTGACGTGTTGTCACCTACTTGAATACTCTCATCGAATTTTTTTATTTCCTCAATTGGTTCTTGAAAGCTATAATCATATTCATCATGAAATAGTCTCCTTCTTACATTTATATCTTTTGTCGGAGTTAGAGATACGCCAAGGTCTGAAGTGTCATGCTTCAATGGAGTGCTGCTCGCAGAAGTAGGGGTCGCAAGAGAGCCCGTGTAAGACCTGTCGAAGCCGGAATCGTTACTGCATATGCTGTCGTTGAAATCACAATATTCTTCGAAAACCGTGTTGAACATTTTCAATATCTGAAAAAGAACAAAGGATTATTAAAAAAAACTGCCATAAAATAAAATATTGTTGTAATAACTATTTTTAAGTATTGTGTTTTTTCACAGACAAGGAAATTGTTAATATATAAAATATCTGTAAAAAGTTTCAGTTTATATGGATCCCACCTTCTTGTGATTTATGAGAGTTTCAAAACATTTGTGCATCAAAAAAATAATATAATAATTTTTAGGGTTTTACTGAGAATTATTAGTAACCGTGTGGATCGCCAGCGCCATTTTGCTGGCACGGTAATTATGCCACGAGGTTGTGTTTCCACTTACGATAGCTACTGTAGGCAATTCTATACAAATAAATAAAATTGAAGTGTCTGTTTGTAATTTTTAATTAATTAATTAATGATAACTCAAAAACTACTGGTCAGACCTTCATTACCTTGGGGGGACCATATGAGAAGCACTAGCTTTCAAATTAAAAATAATCATCGAAATCGGTTCACCGAGAAAAAAGCTATGAGGTAACACACATAAAAAACATACAAGAGAATTGGGTACCTTCTCCATTTTGAAGTCGGTTAAAATTTGCAGAGTATTGTTACACTTAAGCTTTAGAAAATATTAGCGATAATTTTTACAGTTTTTCTCATGGGTCATGGAAAATTCCAAAAAAATCTCATGGCTTTCGATATTTGGCGCTTTAATCTTGTTCAAACTAGACGTAAAATATAGGCCTGCGACATGCAGCAGTGTCAAAGGTGCGAGACTTCTGATACTGTGACGATTAATGATGGAGGGAGAATTCGCGGAATTCTCCCTCCATCAGGAGAGACCAATGTCTAGCAGTGGACTTTCATAGACTGATAGCGAAAAAAAAGCCTCTGCACTGTTGTAGAACCCTTATATAAGATTCAAAATGTTTTTAATAGGATTATCATGCAAGCGAGCACACAGTCCACCTAATGGTAAGTGGTTGCTGTGGCCCATAGTCATCTACGACTATCCTCGATTACAAATCAAAATACAGATTTCGACTTTGAATAAATTTTGAAATAATGGGATTATTACATTGAGTTATATGTACTACGTACTAGAGGAGCCATTCCGAACATTGACTATGTTCAACTGAACTGTAGTGCAATCCATAAAAACTAAATATTGCGTAAGTAGAAGATTTGTGAATTCCATAAAATAATTATTATAACATTTTATTTAGAAATATGTTTGTTTAGATTAAATTAAGATATTTTATATTAAATTCTTATATTTATTTTATATTAATATCTTATTTTATATTAAATTAAAGTCTTCGCGAAGACATAGAGTAGGACACAATTTTTGTTTGGAGTGGCTTCTCTAGTACGTAGTACATATAACTCAATGGATTATTATAAATAATTTGCTTATTTAAAAGCATTTTCCTTGATAATGATAGGCAGTGTTAATATAACATTTTTAGCCGTGGTAGCCCGTAGGTTATTCGGTAAATTTCCTTTACGCGAGCAACCCCGTTTCGATCCGCGCTAGCACCAATGAAATTATTTATACTAAATTTATGGATCTTATTGCTTTTAATGTTAACTTATTTTAAAACTCTATAGTTCAGGTGTTTTGTGGCACCTATTGTGATGAACTGTAGTTAGCAGTCTGGATGTCATAGTTAACTAGTGACCTGAAATATGTTGCAAACTGTCGGAGCGTAACAATTTGTGTATTCAGGATCCCGCTCCCACCTTTACTTCATCACATCGCCACTACTTTACGCTGTAGAGCCACGCTGCAGCTATATTATGGTGGTAGCATTAATGGGTTAGCTCGACCGGGGAAGGACCACGCTCTCACAGAATAACAGCGTAATGTAGCAGCTTAATACTGCTGTGTTTCGTATGGTGAGTGTAGAGAATCGGATACCATTTTTATTGGAATGGGGCATTCCATCTTAGTCCTGAGGAGTGAAAAAGCTTCTGCATTTTGATTCTCAATCGAGGATAAATGTAGATGTCTATGGGCCACAGCATCCACTTACCATCAGGTGGACTGGCGCTCGTTTGTCACCCTTAATCTTTAAAAAAGACTTTGTGGTAGTGACATTGCTTGACGACCACCAATCATTGCTAAAGAACACCGCTTCCTCGAACATCTAGTATCAAAGATTCGATAGGCTACCAACAGGTGGACTATGTGCTCGTTTGTTTTCCTTATTCCATAAAAAATACTACTGAAATAAAAATGCAGCTTCCAGGTTTCAGTGATTATTATATAAAATCATGAATTCAAGACATTTTAATTCTTTTTTTTTATAGGATAAGGGTGACAAACGAGCACACAGGCCACCTGATGTGGATAAGTGGTTGCTGCGGCCCATAGACATCTACATCTATCCTCTGTTACAAATTAAAATGTAGATGCGTTGTCACCCGTGAGGACTAAGATGGAATGCCTCATTTCCAGTAAAAAGGGCCTCCGGCCACCTTCATTCACCAAGCGAAACGCAGAGGTAAACCTCTACTTCACGCTGGTTTTCTGTGAGGTCGTGGTACTACCCCGGTTCGAGCAGGCCCATCCGTGCGACAGCAAAAGCTGCCGCGTGGCTCTACCATTGTTAAGTTTTTGTTTAAGATCGCAACACATAAATGGTTAGAAGGTGAATTTAACCCACAAAACACTTGAAATATGGGAAATTGATGATGAAGTGTCTATCTTTTTTTATAAAACGAAAAATAGATACATTAAATGGTATTTGATTATGTGAAATGTAAATAACGCCACTATATAGCTCCTACCCAGGCAAGCAAAGGCGTAATATAAGAAATCATTGTAGAATGCTTATTCTAGCTTATTTATACGTACTTGTAAAAAGTAATCATTGCTAACCTGGACACATAAATACAAACGAATAGTTTTAATGATAGGATCATTGACTTTTTGACCGCCACGCTCCGACGAGCAAACCGCGCCACGTGTGCGTCGCGTGTCGCCTACAGGTGGCTGGGGGCCGGGTATACGCTCGCAATTAGTGGAACAAAAGTCACAGAGCTCCTATAATTTTAGTTACTATTAAATGTGGGGCGTTACTTTGCGAAAAACACACTTTTTAGGCGTAAAAGTTACTTTAAAGATTTTGATATTAAAATTAAACTGACAAAATACATATTTCAAAGATGAATTCATGGACTGGCATTCCCTGGACAGAAGTTTTTCTCTAGTTAATCTATATTGAATAAAAATGATTATATTCTATTCTTATTGGCTGACGAAAAACTATTTATTTATTAAATTACAAACCTTCTTGATTGCATTACACAGTCACACTAACCGATGTTCTGTTATTTTAATATGTCCATATTTTGCTTACTGAATAACATAGTACCACCGAAACAAACAAAACATGCATATCTCTTGTATAATTTTTTGCGCTTATTAGCATTATAATATGTTCGGTTTCTTTATTTATTCATGCAATGTGAAACTATGTCTAGTTCTCAAAAAACGATTCTAGAAGAAGACCAAATATTTTTGCCTAAATATTTTCTTTTAATATGTATTTGCTGTAAACTCTGAGCATCATGTTCATGACAGTACAGAATCATTTCTAACTAGGATTTTACAACTAAGATGAAATGTTATGAAATATTATGTATCTACATACAAAACCAATCAAAATGTGAAATTAATTAAAAATAAATTACGGTAAAAGTGACACAAAATATTGAGATATATTTGTAATTAAAAAAAAATATACTTGTATTGTTTAAACGTTTTTTTTTATATAAAAAGAACATATGTTACAAAGCCGGAAATCACAGGCCGGAAGTAGAACGTGATAAAGCTCAATTGACTTACCGTAACATGTTGGTCACGCGAGGTGTTATTTACGTTTACTGGGGATATTTGTAGAATTTATAATAAAAATAAAAGTTACTCAGTTAGTAATTAAAAATCGAGAATTCGTATCATGTATATTTTTCGATACTTCATTCATTCAACTCGAAGTATCTTGAAAAGAACACTGCTAAATATGGGCCTCTCTCACAGATTACCCCATTTGGATTTTGCCAAAGTTGCCACGCTTGGCAGGTGAATTGGCAACCGAGGTAAAAGAATAAATAGCTGACGTGAAACATCAACGTTCCGGGAAGTCTGCAGTTTGTGACCATATCCTAGACAGCCCCCGCCATTACATTGGATTCGATAAACGACAAATTCTCGCGAAAGAACATCGATTCCTGCCAAGGATGATACGCGAGGCTATTGAAATTAAAAAAAAAACATCCTAATTTCAATAGAGAGGGAGGCTGGGTACTACCACCTGTTTGGGATGCTGTAATTAATAAAATTAAAACTAAACCCAAACATACCACTGCAAGACTTCAAGACACAGTAAGTTCATTCTGCGTAGATCAGACCAAAACTGAAGATCGAACTTAAAAAAGCTGAAGGTACTCCGGGTTAACTCTGACATCGGGACGTCAATCACCTCAGTCCCCCGTGACTTTCATTTCGTGCTTTTCAGCACCCGAAATGTCGGAAATAAATAAAAATAAGATAAATAAGTTTATTAAACGCCAAAAAAATCCGTAAAAGTAGTTTTATTCAATGTGTAGTGTTCGCGTAAATATAAGAAATCATTATGTAAACTGAAGTGTGTTAGTATTATCAGTTGTTATGAGAAAGATGCTGCTGCCATCTTCTATTTCAGTTTTCCTCTGTCGCCTCTTACGACACCTACGGAATGATATGATTACTGGATATTATTACGACGTCTTTAAATATCTGGTTTTGAAACGTATGCTTTGAGAATATTATATACTGCAAGATTTTACTTTTATTTTAGTTGAATACGTTAACCCCCCACACTAGGATTTTCTCCTGAGTCGTGGAGGCAGTTCACAAACATAAATTGCACGAGGACAAATATCCAGACCCGAAACAATTATTTGTAAGCCATACAAATACTTGTTCCATGCGGGATTCGAACCCGCGGCCCCCAGCGCAACAACTCATTGCTAAGC